GCCAAGCAGGAGAGTGGCACAGTGCTGTCTTCTTTATTCTGGTCAGTTCAAGGTAGCCTTCTTTCATGGTGTTACCTACAACTGAAGGGCAGTGATAATGCATCGAAGAACCTTGCCATAGAAATCCTTAGTAAATGTAAGTGACTTCCTTATGGAATAACACAGGACTGTAAAATGTAATCTTCACAAGCCAATTAATATTTTTTTTCCTAGCCATGGTGAAATGATATTAAGCATGGAAGTTGGACCATTTCTAAATGCAGTATACAAATACATGGAATGTTTTAAAACGTGTTGTATTTTGGTAAAATTTTTGTATATGTTTTTTTTACTTATATATGCTTGATGTAATGGGTGAAACTTGCTCAGAATTCAGATTACATTCCTTGTGTCTAACAGTGTTCTAGGAAGACGATAGTTACTGTGAGAGCTATTTTATCCCAAGGATATACTGACTTCATTACTGACGTCTCAAATGTATTGTGCTTCTGATGTTAGTGACAATGTCAGAATACATTTCTGAGTGGTTAACTTTTCTGAAGTGTCAGTTTCTCTGGCAATGACTATTCCCTGTTGTGCATAATGCCAGATTCAATAGAAGTGCTCAAAAAAGGCAGATTCCAGACATAAATCTGTAGCCTCTGGACAACCTTGAGAGGGGTCAGGGGAGGGTCACTTGTATGGTTAGGGGCCTGCAGGCAAAACAGTATGAGGAGAGATTGAGGGCCCTGGATCTCTTCAGCCTCCACAAGAGAAGGCTGAGAGGTGATCTTGTGGCCGCCTACAAACTCATCAGGGGGAGAAACCAAGGAATTGGAGATGCTCTGTTTACCAGGGCACCCTTTGGAGGAACAATGGCCACAAACTGCCGGAGAGCAGATTTAGGTTAGACATCAGGAAAAACTGCCTTATGGCAAGGGTTGCCAAAATCTTGAATGGGCTTCCAAGGGAGGTGGTGCTCTCTCCTACCTTGGCGGTCTTTAAGAGAAGGCTAAACATGCACCTGGCTGGGGTTATCTGACCCCAGCGCTCTTTCCTGCCCAGGGCAGGGGGTCAGACTCGATGATCTGCCAAGGTCCCTTCTGACCCAAACAAACGTCTATAAACGTGTCTAATTTCCTATTATAGAATATATTTATCTTTTCTTTTTAGATGTGGGTAAGTTCCTGTCAAATATCAGAACAATTTTAGAGTCGCTTTTATCTCAGTACAGTGGCAAAAGCATAGTGGAAAAATTAAGTGACTCTGTCTTTGCAATGGCAACTCGTCAGCTGGTAAGTAAATGGGATTTTTGTGTTCTTCTTCTTTAGCATGAATGCACGTATCAATTTATGAAGACCTTAACTACATGTTTTGTTACCCAGGTGATCTTCTTGTTGGACTTCTGTGCTTTAGACATTCCACACTGTAACCTATTACAGCTCTTCAGCACCCTGACAGAGCCACTGAAGAACCTTTGCAGCGAACCAGATAAGGTAGCGTAAGAGACAGGCAGATGCTTTAAACCTCTGGTTCTCTATGCACTTTTGAATTCTGTCTCTCTCTTCCACCCTCAGCGTGCGTGTTCCTTTTTCTGCGGAATATTCTCAATGTACTTTTTGAGCATTTTTATAGGAGGAAAAGTAGCACCTACAAGTAGACAAACAGGTTATGTAGGAACACGGTACTGGAAAGTTGCTCCTGGGCCATCAAGTCCCAGTCCCTTGCATTTACAGGTAGTCATTTCCCAAGGAAATCCTCTAAGTTACTGCTTCAAACTCTCATCCTGTCGTGTTAAAGACACAAGCCTGTGCATCTAGAATCTGTAACAAATCCTATCCTGATAGGTATGAAGGTACCGTATGAGGCACTGAGTATCCTGAAACATGCACTCATTTATAGTTATACACTGCCTTAGATCAGTAAGCTGTCAGCAACTTGCATGGTTAAATCAGCTGCGCTTTTTGCAAGCTGTGATTCTCCATCAACATTTCTAATGGTCACAACTGATTGCTGTAATGACAAGAAAGTGAAGGGAAAGGTAACTTCTCTGAGGTTTTAGCTTTAAATTATCAGAATATCCTGTGCCAATACACTTGGGAGTCTCCTTGTTCATTCCTTCCCCCCAGCACCCTCCTACCCCACCCTTGGCTGCATGAGAGAAAATGAAATATGTGAACAGAAGGACTGCATGAAGCTTCAGTAGCCAATTCGATTTGGAGAAGATTCGGCCCAATTCAGGGACCGAGTCTCCAAATCCGCATCAAATAAAGATACCAAGTAAAAGCTCCGAATCAGTTCGGAGATTTGGCCAGAGACTAAACAGGCAGCTGACAGCTGCATCCAACTGGTAAGTCTGTTGGCATTGGGGGAGGCGGGGAGGGAGGGATTGGGCCTGGGGCTGGGATAAGCTGTCCAGCTGGGGCAGGGGGTGAGAGATGCAGGTGCTGGGAGCAGGGGCTCTGCCCTGCTGCCGCTTGCCCATCCGGGGCGGGATGCAGGCGTGGCCCGCTTCAGGTGGAAGGGGGGAACGTGGCAGCAGGGCAGACACCCTGCTCCCAGCTGCCCCGTGGCATGGATGCAGCATGGCTTGGCAGGGCGCCGCACGCTACCTGAGAGCTGAGGCGGCTCCACCTGTCAGCCGGAGCCTGCCAGCACTCAGTCTCAGCGGCCCCATCTCCCAGACAGCGCACAGCACCCTGCTGAGCCACGCTGCACCCATGCCATGGGGCAGCTGCCACGCATATGCCAGGTTGAGGGGGGCGATCCTTGCTGCCTCCCACTGTCCTGCGCTGCAGGGCTCTGTCACGAGTGCCCAGAGGCCCCAAATGCTGCTGCTGCAGCCAGCGAGTACAGGGCTTTATTTATTTATTTATTTATTTATTTATTTATTTATTTATTTTTTAAAGCTTCACAATCACCAGCTGCAGGAGCAGTGATTGGGGCCTCTGGATGCTCATGGGAGAGGCCCCCCGCGCAGCACGGGGCAGTGAGGGGCAGCGGGGATCCGAATCAAACCCACTGTCCTCCAAATTAGCCAAATCTGAATCGAATACTTCCCGATTCGCACAGCCTAGTGAACAGTGGAACAGAAATTCAAGAGCAAATTTTAGAGAGGTCCCTCATGATTGGAAAAGGGCAAACATAGTGCCCATATTTAAGAAAGGGGAATCCAGGGAACTACGGACCAGTCGGCCTCACGGACCAGTCAGTCCCCAGAAAAATCATGGAGCAGGTCCTCAAAGAGTCCATTTCTAAGTACTTTGAAGAGAAGGTGGTGATTAGGAACAGTCAGCGTGGATTCACCAATGGAACCTGACTAACCTGATTACCTTCTATGATGAGATAACTGGCTCTGTGGATGTGAGGAAAGCAGTGGATGTGATATACGTTGACTTTAGCAAGGCTTTTGATAATACTGTCTCCCACAGCATCTTGCAAGCAAGCTGAGGAAATATGGGTTGGATGAGTGAACTATAAGGTGGATAGAAAACTGGTTGGAGCATTGGGCTCAAAAGGTAGTAATCAATGGCTTAATGTCTAGTTGGCAGCCAGTATCAAGTGCAGTGCCCCAGGGTGGGTCCTAGGACTGGATTTGTTCAGTATCTTTAACAACCTGGAAGATGGCATAGAGTGCACCCTCAGCAAGTTTACAGATGACACCAAGCTGTGGGGAGTAGTAGATATGCTGGAGGATAGGGCTAGGATTTAGAGTAACCTAGACAAATTGGAGGATTGGGCCAAAGGAAATCTCACGCAGTTCAACAAGGACAAGTGCAAAGTCCTGCACTTAGTACAGAACCATCCCATGCACCGGTACAGGCTGGGGGCTGACTGGCTGGGCAGCAGCTCTGCAGAAAAGGACCTGAGGGTTACAGTGGACAATAAGCTGAACATGAACCAACAGTGTGCCCTGGTTACCAAGAAGGCTAATGGCATGCTGGGCTGTACTGGTAATAATGTTGCCAGCGGGTGAAAGGAAGTGATTATTCCCCCTGTACAGCACTTGTGAGGCCACATCTGGAGTACTGTGTTCAGTTTTGGGCCCCCCACTACAAAAAGAATGGGGACAAATTGGAGAAAGTCCAGTGGAGGGCAACAAAAATGGTGAGGGGCCTGGGGGACATGACTTCTGAGGAGAGGCTGGGGGAGCTGGTCTTAGTCTAGAGAAGAGGAGACTGAGATTCAAAAGCAGCCTTCAAGTACCTGAAGCAGGGTTCGAAAGAGGATGCAGCTGGACTATTCTCAGTGGTGGCAGATAACAGAGCAAGGAGCAACGGTCTCCAGTTGCAGCAAAGGAAGTGTAGATAAGGTATTGGGGAGAATTTTTCAGTAGGCTGATAGTAAAACACTGCAACAGGTTACCCAGAGAGGTTGTGGACTCTCTGTTCTTGGAGGTTTTTAAGATCCAGCTAGACAAAGCCCTGGCTGGGATTATCTAGTTGGGGCTGGTCCTGCTTTGAGCAGGGGGTTGGACCAGATGACCTTCTGAGGTCCGTTCCAACCCTTATTTTCTATGATTCTATGAGTACAGCAGAGGTGTCGGAGATGCTGGCCTGCAGTGCTGCCTGTGGGTCTTGTACTAGCTCCATGTGCAACATGAAACATGAGCTAGCCGTAGCCTTGTACACTGTACATGGCACGTGGAGCCAGTGTGACATGCACTACACACCACATGGGGCTGTTTGGGGCACATGCTGTGTGCAGTGCCCGTGCCAGACTAGCCCTACAGACTGGATCTGGGGGCAGTCTGGATCAGGTCCAAGTGACATGCAGGGCTGGTCCAGGGTATGGAGTGCACATGGGACTAGTCTGTGGTCTCGACGTGGCCCTGGGCCCTTCATCTCAACAAAGCTGAGCTCTTCATGTGTTCTTTGCATCTCTATTCCTAGACACAAACCAAGACAAATCTCCCAGTTGGATCATAGATAGATGGAAGAGGGACACCAGCCCACCAGCTGTTAGCACAGAATTAGGGAAGGGGCACTTGGAGGAGCTGGATGTGTTCAAATCAGTAGGCCCAGATGAACTTCATCCAAGGGTACGGATGGATTTGGCCAGCGTCATAGCAGAGCCAATGGCACAGCTGTTCAAGCACTAATTGTGCTCTGGTCAGGCCCCAGAGGACTGGAAAAGAGTCAGTGTGGTCCCTATTTTCAAGAAGAGGAGGAGGGAGGAACTGGGAAACTATAGGCCAGTTAGTTTCACCTCTATCCTTGGGGAAAACTCTGGAAAAAATCGTATTAGGATCACATCTGTGGGAGCCCAGCAGGGGAAATAATGCTGAAAGGAAATCAGCATGGATTCACTGCAGGTAGATCCTGCCTGACTAACCTTGTTTCTTTTTAGGACCAGGTCACAAAATGCTTAGATGCAGAAGTCGAGGTAGATGTCATCTACCTAGACTTTAAGCAGGCCTTCAATACAGTATCTCATTCAGTTCTTGTAAATAAACTGACAGGGTGTGATGTAGATGATTACATGGTCAGGTGGGTGGCAAATTGACTTAGGGGTTGCACCCAGAGAGTGGTGGTGGGCAGGTCGGTATCAACCTGGAAAGATGCGGGCAGCGGAGTCCCGCAAAGCTCGGTCCTTGGCCCAGTGCTATTCAATGTTTTCATCAGTGACTTGGATGAGGGCATGGAGAGCACCCTGTCCAAGTTCACAGATGATACCAAATTATGGGAAAAATTAACACACCAGGGGGCAGAGAACGGATCTAGGCGGATCTGGACAGGTTGGAAAAATGGGCAGAACAAAATAGGATGTAGTTCAGCAAAGACAAGTGCAAAGTGCTGCACCTGGGCAAAAAGAACCACCAACACACTTGCAGGCTGGGGGATGACCTTCTCAGCAGCACCGCAGTGGAAAGGGATCTTGGAGTCGTAGTTGACTCCAAGATGAACATGAGTCGTCAGTGTGACAAAGTGATCAACAGGGCTCATGGCACTTTATCGTGCATTAACAGATGTGTGACAAATAGGTCCAGGGAGGTGATGTTTTATTGCTTCCCTTCTGTGCAGCACCAGTCAGACCGCAGTTGGAGTACTGTGTCCAGTTTTGGGCGCCGCTCTTCAAGAGGGACGTTGGGAATCTTGAGAGGGTTCAGAGGAGGCCACTCGTATGGTCAGAGGCCTGCACGCAAGGCCCTATGAGGGACCTAGATCTCTTCAGTCTTTGCAAGAGAAGGCTGAGAGGTGATCTTGTGGTTGCCTATAAATTCATCAGGGGAGGGCAGCAGGGTATAGGAGATGCTCTATTTACTAGGGCACCCCCTGGAGTAACTAGGAATAATGGCCACAAATTGATGAAGAGCAGCTTTAGGTTGGACATTAGAAAGAACTTCTTCACAGTAAGGGTTGCCAAAATATGGAATGGGCTTCCAAGGGAGGTGGTGCTCTCCCCTACCATGGGGGTCTT